ATCCTACGGGGCAAGAGGGAAACTGTGATAAGACCTAGGGAAGGAGGACTGCGTACTACGATGCTTATTCCCGAATGCAATAATCATTAAAATTTCACATATCGACGCCCTTGTTCAATCAGAAATTATCAGCTGGAAACTTTTTTTGCCATTTTTATCCTACTCGAGTATCAGACAGTGTGCTCTTCCAGATTCGTATCATAACTACATGTAAACCTAGGAATGATGTAAAATTGGGCAAAGGTGTTAGGCCTTATTTTTAATTCTCTTTCCCAGTTGATTTATAATGGAATTTCATTTCACTTCGCCTGAATATAATCATCACCCCACAACGGGAGTCATATACACCATATCAGCTTCAGAAGCAGACGAGTCAATTGACCTATTTTTCTTGATTTAGTCTTAACTTGTGGCTTTCGCGGGAATGCCCTCCATATCTGACAATATTGGTCATAAGTTAGTTCTTTAATTAACAATTCCTATGAATATTGAGTTGAGAGAGATATGCTACTCGCCCAGAATTACAGCTAATCTTTATCTCAGTTGGTGAGACACGAATCCACTTTAAACTGCGCCCGAAAAGTTTTTATCATCTACCAACTGGGTTAGGAGCGCACCAACTAGCAGCTAACAATAGGTGCGATTAGCTTTAATCCCCCAAAACTACTTCACCTCCGCCCCCTGGTAAGGATGGCCTGTTGATCATCCCCAAATTTCATATCACATCAACTTCCACACATGTGCTCGCAGTTTGGGGGACGCGATAAGAGATAGCCTGATGATGAATCAAGAGAACCTACTTTATATTTGTTGCACATTGGGGTGACTGAGCTGAAAAAGGGGGCTATTTTACCCAAAATTCCATCTATTCTGCTTGTGTTTGGGGGAAACACGCACTTTTGCTTATAAGAGGACCGCATAAACGACTCGGCTCTGAGCCCTCCATTACTTTCAATTTAATCACCAATGGTCATGTGTGTTTATCTACAGTGAATATGTGAAATGCATCAGGACAGCGATAGGAGGTAATTTGCACTCACATACTTGCCTTGGCTCAAGCTGCGCTAAGGACTTACCCATTCGAAATTGAGAGTTGGCGAAAGATTGGAATAGATGTAATATGTGGGTTTATAAATTATGATGCTTGTCGTCTATAATTGCGGATGAGTTTAAGTTGTCTTGTAGATGGCCAAAGATATGGGCTTTGACGCGATGAAGATTTTGTCCGAATTTAACCCTGTTAGACCTGTCCTCTATTGTGTTTTTTTCAACGCGGTCTAATGGCTTTTGGGATGCATTTACCCACCAATTCTGACGCTAAATGGCCACTGAAAGAAATTTGTTTTGAGGGACCCTATAATACTTAGTCCTGTCAAATCTTATTAACTTTTGATCTAGGTAAGGACAATACAAATTACAAGTGAACTTTAGGCTAAACAATATATTTAATGCACTGCCAGAGCTTTTCTGAAGTCTATCAGTTCTTGTTCCTCAAATTAAAATAAACAAGATAATTACTTCAGTTTCATTTCTTTCAACTCTACATAGGTTTTTTTTTCTTGTCATCACCTAGCTTACCACCTTTCGGGATTAAGTAAATCAAACTGCGATGACACCTTCAAATATTTTTAGTTGATCCTTTTAGATCTCTCTTGAATTGATAAATCTAACTTGGCTTATTTGATTTTACTTGACTTATTATAAAATCGTTTATCTTTAGGCTTCTAGTGTCGGTAACGCTGGCTCAACTGGAATGCGAACCGAGAGTAGTCGCTCTGCCGTTCTCGGCGAAGGTCTGGCGCGCTGCCTTATCAGTCAGGGCCATCTTTTGCCGTTGCCTGGTCACATTTGCCCAATATACTGGGCCTGGGATCATGCACTCCAACTGAATCCTTTGCCAGACCTTCTGGTCGTCGTGGAACCGGATGCTGTGGCCCAGATCCCAGAATTTGCATCAGTCGGTAACCGCTTGACTTCCTCGCCCGAATGGGCAGCCGGCTGTTGTCTCGTCAATCCAGGTCGTTTCGGACGCCGACTGGTAAAGTCGCACCGACCTGATATTGCAGTTGATGTTGAAACTGACGATGATCGGACTAATAGTGCGTCTGTTGAGTACTCCTTTAAGGTTTTCTATCCATATTCGGGATTGGTGGAGAATAGTCGGCTGCCGGACTAAACTACGCCCTAGTGTCTCAATGATCATAACAAATGACAACATATGATAGTAATTTTAAAAGTTGGGAATTCATAGACATGATGGAAAGTTTTTTCGCCATTATTTCCAGATATTTTAATCTGAGTCGCCGATGAGTTACTATTACTGGTCTCTAGTAGTAGTGGCACTGGTGATCACAATTGTATTTGTGTTTGAGGTTTTGGTGCTGTTTGGAAGTGTGTCTTCTTTCTTAATGCTTTTTTAACGATTGAGGCCTCCGATCCTAACTCTGGGAGGCTAGCATTTATTCCTCACAAATATCTGTATTTATCTACATGTGTCTCAATCTATCCGCAATATTCTGTATGCCAGTCTGTCTTTTTGATGTGCTGTGTGCCAACCTATCATTATATCTATCAATTAATTTACCTCACTTCTCAGACCTATTCATTTGCATTTTGAACCGAGTATTAGATTTATTTATCGCATCTCCCTTTGCCTCCATCCTTATGCATTAATATTTCAGTCCATATTTTGTCTTCTTTTCTAGCGCTCGAAGTATTTGTTACTGTTTGAGTAGCTTCCAAGAATCATCTTTATTTAAACTCCTCTCAGAATGTTTGGCTACTTTGTGTTCACTTTCGTGCTTTTGAAAGTTCGATTGTATTCAAGTAAAATGTATATCTTTAACTTTTATTTCATGTAAGCCTTTATTATTCATCTTTCTCAACAGTAAAGCTCGGTTCCTCATTAAGAGTATTACTATTCTCATGGGACTATTTCATTCATTGCAACACTTTTCTGTTTCGCTTCTGCTCCAAGCTGTTGTGTTTACGGAATAGTCAAAAGACGTATTCTAGATTCTATAATGTATTTTGATAAATTGTCTTTATATCCTGATTTTTTGCTTAACATTTTGAACCTGCTTTCAATAATTGTGAATTTACGGACTTTCAAGAGTATTTAAATGTGTTTTTGTATCTTTGATTTCGTTTTAAATGACGGATGGAAGGGATTCATAAATTGGCTTCAATGGAAGCCGAAGAAATATCGTGCATCATCCTGCGATTCCGATCCATCCATACTGAGCCTTCGTCTGTCTCGCCGTGACAGACATAATCAAAGCTTGAAAGCATTCTTTAAGAAAACTTCAAGCATTAAAAAAATGTTGGCTTGCTGTGGTCTTACCTATCTATTACTTATTGTCTAACCTTGTCGGCCTAATTAGGCATCTCATGCTTTGGTTCGTTATTTTCTGATTCCCCTACTACATTCAGTAGAGGCTTGTAGGGAAATGGTAGCGAATAGCGTGTGAACCAGGTATGGTTGTGACCGAACAGCTATTTCCTCTCCATGTTTACCTGCATTTTGTTCCCGA